GGCTCGCTTCACCCACGCGGCACTGCGCCCGGCACTGCGCCCGGCCCTGCCGATGACCCCCCGCAGTGTTCCGCGAACCACGGCCATCTGTGGGCGCCCCCCCCTGCACCCCCCCCCCTTCACCCCCCCCTGCACCTCCCCCCCTGCACCCCCCCTGCACCCCCCCTGCCCCCCCTGCACCCCCCCTGCCCCCCCTGCACCCCCCTGCACCCCCCCTGCACCCCCCCTGCACCCCCCTTCACCCCCCCGCACCCCCCCTGCACCCCCCCTGCACCCCCCTGCACCCCCCCTGCCCCCCCTGCACCCCCCCTTCACCCCCCCTGCCCCCCCTGCACCCCCCCTGCACCCCCCCGCACCCCCCCGCACCCCCCCCGCACCCCCCCCCCCGCACCCCCCCCCCCTAGGGGGAAGCCGAGGAATTCCCCTCCGAGCGTGCCGCGTGCGAGATGACTCTCCGCCAGGGGGAGCGGTGGCGCAGCGGTTAGCGCCACTGCGCTCGATGAAAGCGGTGGTGGCGTTGTTGTGAGCCGAGTCCCAGCAGCTCACGAGCGAATAAAACAGCGGCGGGGGGGTAGGGGGTGGGGGGCGAATTCGTTCGACTTGGTCGAGGGCCCAGGGTCAATTCGGCGTCCAAATGAGTAAGTAGCCTTGGAGCGTTGTGTGAACGTCAACACCGGGGATACAAAGACGGCCTATGGGCGTTGCATCCTCATCCTCTCTTGCCGCCCTGCCGGCCTTAATATCGGTGTTGCACCAACAGCGGCCAAAGGCTATGGACATCAGACGTGGGGGGGGGTCTCTGTTTAATCTTTGCTCTGGCCACTGGGGGGCGCTGCCGAGCTGCCGAGCCTGTCCACGGAGAATCGACAGACGCGCGTTGATTCCAATGCGGGATAGGGGGGGGAAGAGAGAACACACACACACACAACTCCAGAGGTGACACACACAACTCCAGAGGTGACACACACACACACAACCCGAGAGGTGACACACACACACACAACTCCAGAGGTGACACACACACAACTCCAGAGGTGACACACACACACACACAACCCCAGAGGTGACACACACACACAACTCCAGAGGCGACACACACACACACACAACCCCAGAGGTGACACACACACACAACTCCAGAGGCGACACACACACACAACTCCAGAGGTGACACACACACACACAACTCCAGAGGTGACACACACACAACTCCAGAGGTGACACACACACACAACTCCAGAGGTGACACACACACACACAACTCCAGAGGTGACACACACACACAACCCCAGAGGTGACACACACACACAACTCCAGAGGCGACACACACACACAACTCCAGAGGTGACACACACACAACTCCAGAGGTGACACACACACAACTCCAGAGGTGACACACACACACACACAACTCCAGAGGTGACACACACACACACACAACTCCAGAGGTGACACACACACAACCCCAGAGGTGACACACACACACAACTCCAGAGGTGACACACACACACACAACTCCAGAGGTGACACACACACACAACTCCAGAGGTGACACACACACACACAACCCCAGAGGTGACACACACACACAACTCCAGAGTTGACACACACACACACAACTCCAGAGGTGACACACACACCCACACACAACTCCAGAGGTGACACACACACATACAAATCCACGCGACCAACGGGGGGAGAGACAGAGAGAGATGAAACGGAGAGAGATGGGGGCCGTCCATAAATGACGTCACGCGATTTTGGACGATTTTTGACCCCCCCCCTCGTCACAAAAAGTCACACCCCTCCTCAAATTTGACGTCACAAAGCTCTGCCCCCCCCCAAATACTATTGTCATTGTAGTGCGTATTTAATGTGGCGCTGCACTCTGATGTAGGAGAAAACATTTATTATAAAGTCTATTTAATTAAGTATAACGTGTTGTCTGTACTTATTTAAAGTTGCGCATTTTGGCGTGACATCACATTTCTCAAACCACCCCCCCTCGTCACACATCGTCACAAATGTCTGACCCCCCCCCCCCCCCAGGTGCGTGACGTCATTTATGGACGGCTCCATGAGAGAGACACAGATGAGATAGACAGAGAGAGAGAGAAATTAAAGAGACGGAGAGAGATGAAAGAGACAGGGTAACAGGGTAATAAGAGACAGAGAGAAATGGGAGAGACGAAGAGATAAGAGAGACAGAGAGATGAGAGACAGAGAGATGAAACAGAGAGAGATGAGAGAGACAGAGAGATGAGAGACAGACAGATGAAATAGAGAGAGATGAGAGAGACAGAGAGATGAGAGAGACAGAGAGATGAGAGAGACAGAGAGATGAGAGAGACAGAGATATGAAATAGAGAGAGATGAGAGAGACAGAGAGATGAGAGAGCCACAGAGAGATGACAGAGACAGAGAGATGAGAGACAGAGAGATGAAACAGAGAGAGATGAAATAGAGAGAGATAAGAGAGACACAGAGAGATGAGAGAGACACAGAGAGATGAGAGAGACAGAGAGATGAGAGACAGAGAGATGAAACAGAGAGAGATGAGAGACACAGAGAGATGAGAGAGACAGAGAGATGAAATAGAGAGAGACACAGAGAGATGAGAGAGACAGAGAGATAAGAGAGACAGAGAGATGAAACAGAGAGATGAGAGAGACACAGAGAGATGAGAGAGACAAAGATGAGAGAGACAGAGAGATGAAACAGAGAGAGATGAGAGACAGAGAGATTAGAGACAGAGAGATGAAATAGAGAGAGATGAGAGAGACAGAGAGATAAGAGAGACAGAGAGATGAGAGACAAAGAGATGAAACAGAGAGATGAGAGAGACACAGAGAGATGAGAGAGACAGAGAGATGAGAGAGACAGAGAGATGAGAGAGACAGAGAGATGAGAGAGACAGAGAGATGAGAGAGACAGAGAGATGAAACAGAGAGAGATGAGAGAGACAGAGAGATGAGTGACAGAAAGATGTAATAGAGAGAGATGAGAGAGACAGAGAGATGAGAGAGAAGAGAGATGAGAGAGACAGAGAGATAAGAGAGACAGAGATATGAAATAGAGAGATAAGAGAGACAGAGAGATGAGAGACAGAGAGATGAAATAGAGAGAGATAAGAGAGACAGAGAGATGAGAGAGACAAAGATGAAATAGAGAGAGATGAAAGAGACAGAGAGATGAGAGAGACAAAGATGAAATAGAGAGAGATGAAAGAGACAGAGAGATGAGAGAGACACAGAGAGATGAGAGAGACAGAGAGATGAAATAGAGAGAGATAAGAGAGACAGAGAGATGAGAGAGACAAAGATGAAATAGAGAGAGATGAGAGAGACAGAGAGATGAGAGAGACACAGAGAGATGAGAGAGACAGAGAGATGAGAGACACAGAGAGATGAAATAGAGAGAGATGAGAGACAGAGAGATGAGAGAGACATAGATGAAATAGAGAGAGATGAGAGAGACAGAGAGATGAGAGAGACAGAGAGATAAGAGAGACACAGAGAGATGAATAGAGAGAGATGAGACAGAGAGATGAAATAGAGAGAGATGAGAGAGACAGAGAGATGAGACAGAGAGATGAAATAGAGAGATGAGAGACACAGAGATATGAAATGGAGAGAGATGAGAGAGACAGGGTAATAAGAGACACAGAGAGATGAAATAGAGAGAGATGAGAGACACAGAGAGATGAGAGAGAGATGAGAGACAGGGTAATAAGAGACAGAGAGAGATGAGAGAGACAGGGGGGGCACGAGAGATCGCAACATCTCAAATCCACAGGCGACCTCTAAGAGAGCGAGGTTTTTCCCTCTGTGATCTGGCAAGCAGTGCCCGCTTCTCGGTGTTCACACCCCCCCTCCAACCCCCCTTTACCCCTCCCCTTACCCCCCTACCCCCCAAACCCCCCTACTCCCACCCCCCTTTACCCCTTCCCCTACCCCCGCTAGCCCCACCCCCCGCTAGCCCCACCGCCGCTACCCCCACCCCCCGCTACCCCCACCCCCCGCTAGCCCCACCCCCCGCTAGCCCCACCCCCCGCTACCCCCACCCCCGCTAGCCCCACCTCCCGCTACCCCCATCCCCCGCTAGCCCCGCCTCCCGCTACCCCCACCCCCCGCTACCCCCACCCCCCCGCTACCCCCACCCCCCGCTAGCCCCACCCCCCGCTACCCCCACCCCCGCTAGCCCCACCCCCCGCTACCCCCACCCCCCGCTACCCCCATCCCCCGCTAGCCCCGCCTCCCGCTACCCCCACCCCCCGCTACCCCCACCCCCCGCTACCCCCACCCCTCCGCTAGCCCCACCCCCGCTACCCCCACCCCCCGCTACCCCCACCCCCCGCTACCCCCATCCCCGCTAGCCCCGCCTCCCGCTACCCCCACCCCCCGCTACCCCCACCCCCCGCTAGCCCCACCCCCCGCTAGCCCCACCCCCCGCTACCCCCACCCCCGCTAGCCCCACCCCCCGCTACCCCCACCCCCCGCTAGCCCCACCTCCCGCTACCCCCATCCCCCGCTAGCCCCGCCTCCCGCTACCCCCACCCCCCCGCTACCCCCACCCCCCGCTACCCCCACCCCTCCGCTAGCCCCACCCCCGCTACCCCCACCCCCCGCTACCCCCACCCCCCGCTACCCCCATCCCCGCTAGCCCCGCCTCCCGCTACCCCCACCCCCCGCTACCCCCACCCCCGCTACCCCCACCCCCCGCTAGCCCCACCCCTGCTAGCCCCACCCCCGCTAACCCCACCCTCGCTAGCCCCACCCCCGCTACCCCCACCCCCCGCTAGCCCCACCCCCGCTAGCCCCACCCCTCGCTAGCCCCACCCCCGCTAGCCCCACCCCCCGCTAGCCCCACCCCCGCTACCCCCACCCCCCGCTAGCCCCACCCTCGCTAGCCCCATCCCCCGCTACCCCCACCCCCCGCTAGCCCCACCCCCGCTACCCCCACCCCCCGCTAGCCCCACCCCCGCTAGCCCCACCCCCCGCTAGCCCCACCCCCCGCTAGCCCCACCCCCCGCTAACAATGGCGGACCCGGCGACTGGCTGGGCTCGCGGCCCGCCACCTGCAGGGCTGCTGCTCGACATCAACGGAGTCCTCTACGACGGCGGCGGCGCGGGAGGAGGCGTGGCCATCGCCGGCTCCGTGGACGCCGTCTCCAGGTGGAGAGAGAAGGGGGGCACTGTGGTGGAGAGAGAAGGGGGGCCACTGTGGTGCAGAGAGAAGGGGGGCACTGTGGTGCAGAGAGAAGGGGGGGCACTGTGGTGGAGAGAGAAGGGGGGCACTGTGGTGGAGAGAGAAGGGGGGGCACTGTGGTGGAGAGAGAAGGGGGGCACTGTGGTGGAGAGAGAAGGGGGGGCACTGGTGGAGAGAGAAGGGGGGGCACTGTAGTGGAGAGAGAAGGGGGGCACTGTGGTGGAGAGAGAAGGGGGGCACTGTGGTGGAGAGAGAAGGGGGCACTGTTGTGGAGAGAGAAGGGGGGCACTGTGGTGGAGAGATAAGGGGGGCACTGTGGTGGGGGGGGAGAGAAGGGGGGGCACTGTGGTGGGGAGAGAAGGGGGGCACTGTGGTGGAGAGAGAAGGGGGGGGCACTGTGGTAGAGAGAGAAGGGGGCACTGTGGTGGGGAGAGAAGGGGGGGCACTGTGGTGGGGAGAGAAGGGGGGCACTGTGGTGGAGAGAGAAGGGGGGCACTGTGGTGGAGAGAGAAGGGGGGCACTGTGGTGGAGAGAGAAGGGGGGGCACTGTGGTAGAGAGAGAAGGGGGCACTGTGGTGGGGAGAGAAGGGGGGGCACTGTGGTGGGGAGAGAAGGGGGGGGCACTGTGGTGGGGAGAGAAGGGGGGCACTGTGGTGGAGAGAGAAGGGGGGGGCACTGTGGTAGAGAGAGAAGGGGGGGGCACTGTGGTGGGGAGAGAAGGGGGGGGCACTGTGGTGGAGAGAGAAGGGGGGGGCACTGTGGTGGAGAGAGAAGGGGGGCACTGTGGTGGAGAGAGAAGGGGGGGCACTGTGGTAGAGAGAGAAGGGGGCACTGTGGTGGGGAGAGAAGGGGGGGCACTGTGGTGGGGAGAGAAGGGGGGGCACTGTGGTGGGGAGAGAAGGGGGGGGCACTGTGGTGGAGAGAGAAGGGGGGCACTGTGGTGGAGAGAGAAGGGGGGCGCACTGTGGTGCAGAGAGAAGGGGGGCACTGTGGTGGAGAGAGAAGGGGGCTACTGTGGTGCAGAGAGAAGGGGGGGCACTGTGGTGGAGAGAGAAGGGGGGCACTGTGGTGGAGAGAGAAGGGGGGGCACTGTGGTGGAGAGAGAAGGGGGGGCACTGTGGTGGAGAGAGAAGGGGGGGCTCTGGTGGAGAGAGAAGGGGGGCACTGTAGTGGAGAGAAAAGGGGGGCACTGTGGTGGAGAGAGAAGGGGGGCACTGTGGTGGAGAGAGAAGGGGGCACTGTTGTGGAGAGAGAAGGGGGGCACTGTGGTGGAGAGATAAGGGGGGCACTGTGGTGGGGGGGGAGAGAAGGGGGGGCACTGTGGTGGGGAGAGAAGGGGGACACTGTGGTGGAGAGAGAAGGGGGGGGCACTGTGGTAGAGAGAGAAGGGGGCACTGTGGGGGGGAGAGAAGGGGGGGCACTGTGGTGGGGAGAGAAGGGGGGCACTGTGGTGGAGAGAGAAGGGGGGCACTGTGGTGGAGAGAGAAGGGGGGCACTGTGGTGGAGAGAGAAGGGGGGGCACTGTGGTAGAGAGAGAAGGGGGCACTGTGGTGGGGAGAGAAGGGGGGGCACTGTGGTGGGGAGAGAAGGGGGGGGCACTGTGGTGGGGAGAGAAGGGGGGCACTGTGGTGGAGAGAGAAGGGGGGGGCACTGTGGTAGAGAGAGAAGGGGGGGGCACTGTGGTGGGGAGAGAAGGGGGGGGCACTGTGGTGGAGAGAGAAGGGGGGGGCACTGTGGTGGAGAGAGAAGGGGGGCACTGTGGTGGAGAGAGAAGGGGGGGCACTGTGGTAGAGAGAGAAGGGGGCACTGTGGTGGGGAGAGAAGGGGGGGCACTGTGGTGGGGAGAGAAGGGGGGGCACTGTGGTGGGGAGAGAAGGGGGGGGCACTGTGGTGGAGAGAGAAGGGGGGCACTGTGGTGGAGAGAGAAGGGGGGCGCACTGTGGTGCAGAGAGAAGGGGGGCACTGTGGTGGAGAGAGAAGGGGGCTACTGTGGTGCAGAGAGAAGGGGGGGCACTGTGGTGGAGAGAGAAGGGGGGCACTGTGGTGGAGAGAGAAGGGGGGGCACTGTGGTGGAGAGAGAAGGGGGGGCACTGTGGTGGAGAGAGAAGGGGGGGCACTGGTGGAGAGAGAAGGGGGGCACTGTAGTGGAGAGAAAAGGGGGGCACTGTGGTGGAGAGAGAAGGGGGGCACTGTGGTGGAGAGAGAAGGGGGGCACTGTGGTGGAGAGATAAGGGGGGCACTGTGGTGGGGGGGGAGAGTAGGGGGGGCACTGTGGTGGGGAGAGAAGGGGGGCACTGTGGTGGAGAGAGAAGGGGGGGGCACTGTGGTAGAGAGAGAAGGGGGCACTGTGGTGGGGAGAGAAGGGGGGGCACTGTGGTGGGGAGAGAAGGGGGGCACTGTGGTGGAGAGAGAAGGGGGGCACTGTGGTGGAGAGAGAAGGGGGGCACTGTGGTGGAGAGAGAAGGGGGGGCACTGTGGTAGAGAGAGAAGGGGGCACTGTGGTGGGGAGAGAAGGGGGGGCACTGTGGTGGGGAGAGAAGGGGGGGGCACTGTGGTGGGGAGAGAAGGGGGGCACTGTGGTGGAGAGAGAAGGGGGGGGCACTGTGGTAGAGAGAGAAGGGGGGCACTGTGGTGGGGAGAGAAGGGGGGGGCACTGTGGTGGAGAGAGAAGGGGGGGGCACTGTGGTGGAGAGAGAAGGGGGGCACTGTGGTGGAGAGAGAAGGGGGGGCACTGTGGTAGAGAGAGAAGGGGGCACGGTGGTGGGGAGAGAAGGGGGGGCACTGTGGTGGGGAGAGAAGGGGGGCACTGTGGTGGGGAGAGAGAAGGGGGGCACTGTGGTGGAGAGAGAAGGGGGGCGCACTGTGGTGCAGAGAGAAGGGGGGCACTGTGGTGGAGAGAGAAGGGGAGCACTGTGGTGGAGAGAGAAGGGGGGCACTGTGGTGGGGAGAGAAGGGGGGCACTGTGATGCAGAGAGAAGGGGGGCACTGTGGTGGGGTGCCGGCAACTGCAGGAGATCTGAGCGACTGCACTAAATCAACTCCTGCCACGCGACACACACGCACACAAAAACTGATTTCACTATGCAACACGATTTTGTTCATGGGTAGTAAGTGTTATTTTCTAATTGCTTATACCTCAAAAGTATATGAAATGGCTATTATTCCCCACAAACTTTGCTTTTGTGACCAGGCACTCTATGTGAGTGACACAAATGCACACGTAAATTTGAAAATATCACGATCCTGGTCACAAAAGCAAAGTTTTTGGGGAATAATCGACATTTTCTCTACTTTTGAGGCATACGCAATTAGAAAACAACATTTACTACCCAGGAACAAGTAAAATATATTTTTTGTTACACAGTCTTCCTTCCGGCTGTAACAGGTCAAACCCCTGACAGGGGGGGGGGGGGTCCCATAGAGACGCGGAACCCCGGGGCCACTGATGAGCACCGTGCGCCGAGTCGCGGGCAACAGCCGCCTCCACTTGAACTTTGACCTGTCTGACGTTGTGAGGGGCCATCTATTGAGTATGTACGCATGGAGGGGGGCAACCCAAATGCGTACACTTGCGTATGGGGGGGTCTACTGACAATGTACATACGCATAGGAAATGGGGGGGGGGGGGTGGTGGTGAAGCCTCGATAATAATTTGTCTACATTGGCCTTCAAATGAGCCACAGTTCAGTGTCTTCAGCTGTCAGACAACAAGTAGTACCGGGAGAGGTGGGACTGTGGGAGAGGTGTCACGCTTTGTGTGCCACCGTGCCCCCCCCCCCCTGAATGCAACTATCACGCAGCTCAGCAAAATAAGTGGCCAAGGTACGCAAATTAATTCTTTAATGCAGCCGGGCGGTGGACTTCAACACGTTCATATTATTAATCCTTGCTCGTTTCTGCGTGGATTAAATATTGGCAGTGTTCTATGGGTTTCGGGGAGGGTGCGTCAAGCGTACACGTGAGCCCAGGGAGGGATGGAGGGGTCAAGTTTAGACAGGTTTTTGCGTACGTACTAAATGGATGGCCCCTTTATCCTTGCAACCAAGTTGCGTGTGAGCAGTTGCAGGCAACCCCTGTAAAAAGTGTCGACAGTTGGCGGGACAGCGCAATCGATGGGGGTTTGTGGCTACACTTTCCCTCTGCTATTGACACGCGAGTCTCGTCTGGAAGTTCAGCGTTACTGGTTCGTGTCAGCCTCGCCATCTGCCGATGAAACCCTGAATGCCAAAACCCGCCCAAAGTTTAGCTTGTATTGAAGCAATAGCTCAGATAACCCGAACTGCTGATGAGACACTTAATGTGAAAACCGGGCCAAAGTGTCGCTTGTATTGAAGCAATGGTTCAGGTAGACCTGACTGCTGATGAGACACTGAATGTCGAAACCAGACCAAACAATGTTGCTGAAGTTATCTATTTAGAGAAGGGCGTGTGGCTTTAAGGATGTGCAGAAGTACTAAATGTTTTTTATGAAAAGGGCCAGATATGTGGAGGAAACATTGAAGTCACATGCAGGTTTGAAATTACATTAAACCGTCCACACAGGCCAGATTTAAAACCGTGGTCTTGAAGCAATTGCCCTTGTATTTCCCCTCGGGGTGTAACGATGCATCTATCCGTCGATTGAAATCGATTTCTTATGCTCCTGATGCATGCATCGAATTGTACAATGTGATAAGTGATTATTACAATACTCTTTGGGTCTTTCGGTAAAGTCACGTAGATACGTTCAAAATGAATACAAATATACAAAAAAAACACGACGTTTCGATCACAACACAAGCGGTCGTCTTCACGTGGAAAAAAGGGGGGTGGTGGGGGGAGCTCCCAAAGGCAAGCTGTTTTTAAAGGTTTAAGATGGGCGTAGCCCAAGTGTCAACTTGCAGTGCGCCCAACAAAGTGGGCGGGGCACAAGGGCCCTGGGGCCAGCACAAGTGGAGTTGGTTATGTTAATGTGGGAAATTAACAACTTTTTGTACTTGTAGTATGCCCAACTTCAAGCGGAGATGGTTATTTTAAGTATGAATTCAGAGAATCAAGAGAAGGGTAAGCGCATGTGCCCTGGAGAAATTAGTAAAAATAAAATAAAACTAACATCGAAAGGTGACGAGATGAAAACATCACAGCCAGTTATGACTTAAACTGGTTGATGACATCCTTCAAATGATTGCTGAGTTTGTACCTATCCTCTCGCTTGAAATTGTGTCTGTGTCTATATATATATGGATGGCTTCATGAACGAATCTTTGTTGATAGCCAGTGGGCTTGCAAAGTACCTCCGTCTTAGAGAAATAAATTTCGTGTGAGCCAACCACATTCAGACAATGATCAGCCACGGCTGAAGTGTTGATCCTCTCATGTTTCAAATCTACCTTATGCTCACGAACACGGTCAGAGACATGTCGCTTAGTTTCCCCAATGTAACTACTTCCACAGACACAGCTTAGTTTGTAGACGCCAGGGTATTGCATGTCAGGGATCATATCCTTCACAGATGGGATTCGATCACGTATTTTATGCACTGTGTTAAATGGAACCTGGATCTTGTGTTTGCTCATGATTTTGGAAATCTTTTTGGTGACAACTGCAATGTATGGCAAGATGATGGTTTTGATTGGGTCCTCAGATGGTTCTTTCCCAACAATTGGGGTGATAGCTTTACGGATTGTGTCACCAGAATATCCATTCGTCTTGAGAACTTGGTGCACGTGTTTCACTTCACTGGCTAGGTGATGATGGTCGGAGATAATCGAACTCTATGGTGTAGAGTTTTGATGAGGGACTTCTTCTGGGATGGATGGTGGTGGAAGTCCGGTTTTAGGTAGGCATCAGTATGGGTTGCTTTCCTGTAGACAGAGTGGCCCATTGAGCCATCTGGTCTCATTTCAATTAGAACATCCAAGAATGGTAGCTTGCCATCCTTTTCCACCTCCATGTTGAATTTGATGGCTGGGTGTATGGAATTGATGTGGTTGAGTAATTAGTTCAGAGCTGGTCGGCCATGTGGCCAAATGACGAACGTATCATCTATGTACCCCTTCCACAAGGACGGGCGTAGAGTGGATGCCTGGATGGCGTCTGTCTGTTTTCATGAAAACATTGGCTACAACTTGTTTGTAGAATGTTCCATTCCAGGCGATTTATGTGTTGGTGAGGCAATGTCTCACCCGGGCCGGTACATCAGCATTCAATCCTTGTTGGACCAAATCTTCAATGATTGCAATGGTGTCGGGCACAGGAACTTTGGTGAACAAAGAAACTTCATCGAAAACTAATGAGCAAATCACCTGAAGATAGTGAGATGTCCTTAATTAACGATACCAAGTGAGCTAAGTACAGATGAGGTGGTCTTACCAGTGAATGGTTGCAAGGTCTCAGACAGAAATCGGGCCAGTTTGTAGGTGGGTAAGTCAATGGTGGAGACGATGGGACGAAGGGGTGTACCTTACAGCTAGGCCTTTCGGAGCTTTTCCCACGGTATTTTCTCCGAAATGTGATTAACAGTCCCTGGTACAGCCACCCTGTGTCTTCGTTTACAAAAGATACCATGTAAATGCCTTGTATTTGAACATTAACTAATTGAAATATAGCTCAAGATCTCTCTCTCGCTCTGTGCCATGTCCTTTGTCAAAGATGTCGGCGATCATGAATTTCCTTCACGTTATTTCTGTTCGTGATTCTTTTCCTAGAAATGTGCACGAGATACTTAGTGCCAGTTGCATCCAATTGTTCAATTTGCTCATGTTGTAACTGTGATTGTACGAGTCAAAACATTATTTTCAGTCTCCTGTTATTTCCTCATTACATGTCCAAGAAATCTAACATTGCCATTCTGTAATTATTATTCATGTTCTTGTTGTGTACCCTGATGCTATCCATAAATACATTTGTTCTCATGTTGTCTGTCCGTGGAAAGTTTCACATCCTTCATCTTAACAAAACACATTTTCCGTTGATATTCTTTGGGTCTTTCAGTAAAGTCATGTAGATAGGTTCAAAGAAAATAACAAAAAACTATAACGTTTCGATCGCAACACAAGTGGTCGTTTTTTTTCTTCCTGATGACGACCGCTTGTGTTGCGATCGAAACGTAATTTTTGTTATTTTCTTTGAACCTATCTACGTGACTTTACCAAAAGATCCAACGAATATGAATTCCTGGAATCACGAAAGCTTTAAGTTAAGACATTTCTGTTGCTTACCTTGCAGAAATGTTTTCCATTTCAGACCCTTTAGTAGGACTAATAAAGAAAGTAATGTTTTCAGACTTACCGGTATTAACCCTTTCTCATTGGAGTGGGAAGGTGTACGTCATCAGCTTTTCTTCCAATTCCGTTCCGATGACATACACGTATGTCATCGAAACTGGACGTAAATGACCTTGTGTGAGGGCGTGTGGCACAGTTTGGCGCCAGCTATCATAGAGTGCGGTCGTGTTACAGCAGTTCTCTGCTGTGATTACAATGTCTTTAAAAACAGCGGCGCTACGCCTCTAAATAAAATTAGCGCTAACCGCTTGGACGTTCGGAGATTCAGTGGTGAATGGGACCCCCACCATGCAACTTGCGGACGTCTTGGAACAGGAAAGGGTTAAGTGTAGCATACTGCATAAACACTGTTGGTGGAAAAGTAGGAGGCTTTTTGTCCGAGAAAAATGTGTACTGCCTGAAGTTAGCCTGCTCATTGTCCCTCTGAGAGCTGCTCTGAATAATTTATTGTGTGGCTCAAAACAATGCACGCATGTGAGTGGGATACTCTCTATCCCATACAGACAGCGCGGGTGGAATCCACATTATTTTCTGTACTGGTTTCTCCTGGCAAGCTAGGGTATGGCACCTCCTCAAGGGAAGGGAGTTTCGCAAGATTTGTATGATCAACGAAGCACCAACCCTCGCCGACTCGACAGTGCTGGATTAGAGGTTTGTGCCACCACCAACTCGGCTAAACTATGCCTGTTTAAAGATACAATTGTCGGCATTGGTCACGATGAAATGGACGTTTGGATTTGTTGCGTCTTATTCTCGTTGTGTCCGCCACAGAGCAGAGCTGGTAATATTCCCGAAGAGTACAAGGAGCCCATTTATTTAGACACAATGCTTGCCCTTTGAAACTGGCATTCCACACTTGTTTTTGCTACTCTCTATCCATCGCCATGAAGGAAAGAACGATTGCAAGAAGACACTAGCCCACTGTTGAACAAGAAACTTGTGAGGATAATTCATTGATACGTGAGATTTGCCCGTGCCATGGCATGTGCACGTGGGTGTTTGTGCTGTGTGTGGCCCTGCGTGCGCATTTGCGCGTTGATGTTTTCTGTGCATACGTGCGTTTGTTTACGAGTGTGTGCAATTGTGCACGTTGGTTTTTTGCGACGCAGCCGTCGGCGCACCTGCGCCAACCACTGTGCCACCTGAGTTCAGTTCCCAGCCACGGTTAACATCGGTGGCACCTGTCCCGAGCCTCCCCCAGGTAAATTCGGCATGAAATGGGTGTCTGGTGGAGTCGGTCGCCAAAAGACGGGGGGGCTTGGTGGAAGTGTGGGGGTCGGTGGCTTATCATCATCATGAGCTGCAGTAACAGCATCATAATTATCATTATAATCATCAACATTTCGTTTTATTTAGCCCTAAACCGTCATCATTGTTATTCTTAGAAGTAAACTGGTGTTTATCTAATATGCTAATTCATGTTGGAGACCAGCCATATGAATGATTGCACTTTGTCAGAAATGTGTGTGTTGTAGACCTTGTTAATGCACAATTGACATGTTACCATTCCTTACCTTGGTGCAGCTTTGAGAAGCCCATAGCTTGGCTGTAATCTCCTTGTCTTGGGTTTGAATTTCGGGTCTGCGGCTCATCACTGTACTGCCCCATGTATTTCCTTCGAGGCCTGTCGACCAATGGGTCGTACTCAATTAGCGACTAAATATATTCCAATCTGGTCTTGAGTTCCTGTCCGTGTATGACTCGGCCAATCAGCTCTCCACAGTCGATATAACAGCGATCACTTTGTGGGAAATCAACAGTGGCAGTTCTGTGGAGGGCCTGGATCTCACTTTCAGAGTGTGGCCAATGCATATTTGAGCATGGCAACACTGACCTTGAAAAGATACGTAAAAACAGGTCAATATGTAAAGACTTTGTTGAACCAACAACTGGGTGTGGTTACATTTTTGTGTGCAGTATATCGTGCTCATCTTACGATTAGCATTAGCCTATTATCATCATGGTGTTGAGATGTTAACTCCCTCGCCTGGCATGCAGGAGGTCATGGGTTCGATCCCGACCCTGACGCCTGCTGCTGTACATTTGGAGTTTGCGTGTTCTGCCTTTGTGCGCTTGGGTTTTTCTGCGGGTCCAGTATTTCCCTCCACATTTAGAAACATGCGTTTAGAGTATATGGCCGCTATAAATTTACACGTGATGAGCCGCTTCTTTGAGCTTTCATTTGTGGCCAGTCCGCTTCTGAAAAAGAGCTGCATAGCTTAGTGGGTCTTACCTGCTAAAATAAAAACGAATAGTTGAATATAGTGTAAAAAAAAAAACCCCATGATTTTGTTGTATCTCTTCATATGAAAACCTTGTTAAATATCACGCACAAGTGCATGATGCGGCCTGGCTGGCTTACCAAGACCCCCCCCCCCCCCCCCCCCCCCCCCCCCCCCCCGCGGCTCGGCCGTCTCACAGGATTAAGCAGTCGGGTTTGAAGCTGCGCTTCTGCACCAACGAGACGCAGGTGACGCGGGAGGGGCTGGCGCTCAAGCTGCAACGCCTGGGCTACGCCGTGGACGCCGGCGAGATCGTGGCGCCCGCTCCCGCCGCCCGCCAGTTGCTCCAGCAGAGGGGCCTGCGCCCGCACCTGCTGCTGCATCGTGGTACGGGGAGTGGGAGGGTGGGGGGGGCCCGCGTGGTTCACGTGGGTCGCGGCTCACGTCCATCGCAAAGTCCCAAAAAAAGTTTTTGCGCGCGTTGCTTTCAGGTTTGCGCCGGGCTGGAACCGCTGCGGAAAGTTACGGCGGTGGATAAATTCCCCGATCCCTATTGCGCAGTGGGTGATGAGGGTAAATTGTGATTGCGGCATTCTTCCTTCCAGCACCAGGCTGTAATGAAGGCATTCTGTTATATTTGCGGCAATATGATCGGTAGCTAAATGCCGAGGTCTGGCTAGCCACGAAAAGAGAGTTCTTGTAGTTATTATATTCTTCCATTGAAGGAGTATAGATTGCAGCGGTTTAATGTAAGGTCTATAGTTTGGGTCGAATGGCCACAATCACACGGCTGTGGCCTGTCTTTCAATTGTCATTCATAAAGGAGATGTGCGCATCGGCCTGTCGATGTTGTGATGCAGAATCAGAATATTTATTTACACTGGAGGAATCCGATGCGCTCTAAAGATATTTTTCAAAGATGTCCAGTAGGGGCACGGGGTAAGAACGGCAAAACAACAAACAGTACAAAACACGATAGGAGTGCAAAGTACAAGAAAGGTCAACAAATCGGCCAAAAGCATACATATAAAAAATAACCATCCCCCTCGCACCAGTGTCTACGACGAAATGAAGGAATTATGTTCGAGAGATGGGTATAACCTGCCAGTAGGTGGGAGGGTGGAAATGTTGCTGTGATGTTTTACCCAATTTATGTAATCTGTGAATAATGTTTTGAATGTGTAACTTTCACGCCAGCACACACGGCCTGCATTCTGTACGTGAAAAGGCAGTCTCTTAACGGTGAGCAGAATATAGCTGCAGATCTATGTGTTTCACACGCCGTGGAACGTGTTGCTATATCAGAAGCAGGGAATGTACCTGCTACTAGTTGCTGTACATGTAGTTGCCATTTCACAACTAGGCAGTGTCATTGCGTGTTTGCCATGCCATGAGTTGTACCCGTTGTCTTGCTTTTTCAATATAAATCTTGTGACTAACGTATTGTAAATTTTGATTTAAAGCTCTCGTGACTGCAGTGATTCATATTCTTGGTTCTTTCGGTAAAGTCACGTTGAAGGGAAACAATAAAATAATAATATATATAAAACAATACAATTCTCACGACGTTTCGACTGTAACGCAAACGGTCATCATCAGGTGTGAAAAACCAACGGCAAGAAACAACACCTGTAAACATTTCAATAAGCTAAGCATCTCCGATTAGCGCGGTTGGCTACGCAAGAAGGTCAACATACATTCATACAAAGAGCCATAGCTAACGCCAAAAAAGAGACATCACATGGAATACAACAGGATAGGGCACATAATAAAAAGGGAAGGCTTTTTAACTATAATCAGCAAGAAGAAATCCATTTCAGTTTTAAAGAGCAGCAGTGGAGCGACTTCCACTTGTACACAGATTTATTAGCAGTACTGTGCAGGAGCGAGTATATATTTATTTTGGAGTTATGTAGACATATGTGGTACCCGTAGAATAATTCTGCTGTGCATAGTACAGGTTTGGTCCAATCAGAAGACATTATCATTCCTCGAACTATGTTGCCGTAAGCATTGATCATTTCTGCTGGATATGGATGCTAGCTCCTCCCTCCTGCCTGTCGCTCTTCATACAGTGCCAAAGTTTTCCATGCGACAGCAACGCTTCTCACTGTGACGGAAAGAAGAAAACACATCTCAACGCACTCCTCAATTACGATCTCATGCTATGTTTATATAGCGTCTTTATCCAACGCGATGAGGGTAGCTAAAGGTGATGCGGTGAATAGGGATGGGGTATGGGGAGGGAGGTGAGTGGGTACGGGAATGACGGTGGGTGCCTAGGGATGGAGCGAAGGATGGGCCAGGGAGAAGAGGTGAGGGTCTTGAGGGAGGAGCGGAAACGAGACGGGGAGAGGGTGCTACTTGCTTCATGTGGAGGAGAAGTTTGTTCCCGGTGCAGGGGGGCAAGTAGAGAAAAGGAGCGGAAACTAGATGGGGGAGGGTGAATGCAGCCTTAAGAGATAACGAAAATAAGAGGCAACGTTTTGGGCAGTGCCCCTTCATCATAGCATATACATACAGAAGTGATACAGTGGATATTAAAAGTTGTAAACTGCACTTTACACTATTTTATGGAAAGGAGCCTGGTGGGAATCAGTGTGAAATAATGCCTTTTGATGACCAGTTTTTAAATTGTTGCCTCATGAGGACCTGTGAGATTATTCAAATGGATTTAAGAGGTCATCAGTCCAAATTTTTTTTTAAAACCTATGCTCTCGTTTATTAGTGAGTGGAACGGATTGGCTGAATTTTACCGTTTTCTCTACATTATATGATGAACGGAACTTTGTTTCCCGGTGTCAATAAAGTTAAACAGATCTGGTCACAAAGACGAAGACGCATGCACTTGTCAGATTACAAGATGCGCCCCCAACCTTTTCTTTAACATTTATAATTCTGAGAATACATTAAGTCTGGACCATAGCAACGTGACATTCTGGGTACACTGATGATGGTGGAATATTCTCGGCTTGTCAACAACAGTTGACGGGAGATTCTCTTACACTCGCATCGTCACATTGCATTATTTAAATGATGGTTCAAAGCAGCCTTGACTTCAAAGCAACTTTGACTTCAAAGCTCAATTTTAAATACACTCGCAGAAACTCTTATTTAGTGTACTTGTAATATACCAATCAATGATTGAGCCATACTTACGGATGTTCATATATGACGTAAATGTGGCTTATTTAATGTTTTAATGACTTGAAAACAAGCAGTGGTGAACATAGATTACTCTACTGATGTGCCCCACCAAGGACGAAACCGGTCTACAGTTGTACAGTGAGCGAAAAAAGCACTTGATTCCCTGCTGATTTTGTACGTTTGCCCACTGACAAAGAAATGATCAGTCTATAATTTAAATCGTAGGTTTATTTGAACAGTGAGAGACAGAATAACAACAAAAAATCCAGAAAAACGCATGTCAAATTTTTAGAAATTGATTTGCATTTTAATGAGGGAAATAAGTATTTGACCCCTCTGCAAAACATGACTTAGTACTTGGTGGTAAAACCCTTGTTGGCAATCACAGAGGTCAGACGTTTCTTGTAGTTGGCCACCAGGTTTGCACACATCTCAGGAGGGATTTTGTCCCACTCCTCTTTGCAAATCTTCTCCAAGTCATTAAGGTTTCGAGGCTGACGTTTGGCAACTCGAACCTTCAGCTCCCTCCACAGATTTTCCATGGGATTAAGTTCTGGAGACTGGCGAGGCCACTCCAGGACCTTAATGTGCTTCTTCTTGAGCCACTCCTTTGTTGCCTTGGCCTTGTGTTTTGGGTCATTGTCATGCTGGAATACCCATCCACGACCCATTTTCAATGCCCTGGCTGAGGGAAGGAGCTTCTCACCCAAGATTTGATGGTACATGGCCCCGTCCATCGTCCCTTTGATGCGGTGAAGTTGGCCTGTCCCCTTAGCAGAAAAACACCTCCAAAGCATGTTTCCACCTCCATGTTTGACGGTGGGGATGGTGTTCTTGGGGTCATAGGCAGCATTCCTCCTCCTCCAAACACGGTGAGTTGAGTTGATGCCAAAGAGCTCCATTTTGGTCTCATCTGACCACAACACTTTCACCTAGTTGTCCTCTGAATAATTCAGATGTTCACTGGCAAACTTCAGACCGGCATGTACATGTGCTTTCTTGAGCAGGGGGACCTTGCGGGCGCTGCAGGATTTCAGTCCTTCACGGCGTAGTGTGTTACCAATTGTTTTCTTGGTGACTATGGTCCCAGCTGTCTTGAGATCATTGGCAAGATCCTCCCGTGTAGTTCTGGGCTGATTCCTCACCGTTCTCATGACCATTTCAACTCCACGAGGTGAGATCTTGCATGGAGCCCCAGGCCGAGGGAGATTGACAGTTCGTTTGTGTTTCTTTAATTTGCGAATAATCGCACCAACTGTTGTCACCTTCTCACCAAGCTGCTTGGCAATGGTCTTTGTAGCCCATTACAGCCTTGTGTAGGTCTACAATCTTGTCCCTGACATCCTTGGAGAGCTCTTTGGTCTTGGCCATGGTGGAGAGTTTGGAATCTGATTAATTGATTGCTTCTGTGGACAGGTGTCTTTTATACAGGTAAGAAGCTGAGATTAGGAGCACTCCCTTTAAGAGTGTGCTCCTAATCTCAGCTCGTTATCTGTATAAAAGACACCTGGGAGCCAGAAGTCTTTCTGATTGAGAGGGGGTCAAATACTTATTTCCCTCATTAAAATGCAAATCAATTTATAATATTTTTGACATGCGTTTTTCTGGATTTTTGTTGTTGTTATTCTGTCTCTCACTGTTCAAATAAACCTACCATTAAAATTATAGACTGATCATTTCTTTGTCAGTGGGCAAACGTACAAAATCAGCAGGGGTACAAATACTTTTTTCCCTCACTGTATCTTTGTTTTCATTGCTGCCTGTCGGTTGATTGCATATTCTTAACGTATTGATGGTGATCGAAGACAAATTGACTACGATGCAGTTCTTCTGCACTAGTGGTTTCCTGTTTAAGGCTGAGAGCGCTGTTTGCACACACGGTGCATGTTTTTTGTGTCATCAAAACTCGATAAAGGTGAACACAAATTCACGTTGAGAATGATTTTAGTTCATAATCATAATTTTTTTTATATTTTGATTCAATGTTGACACTTGGTAAACTGTACGCACTTAAATGAGTTATTATTAACGGAGGTGACTGGATGGCCCAGGGTATTGAGGCCTACGTCAGAGGACTGAACCAACATTGTTTAGAGCCTGGGTTGAGGTAAAGCTGTTAAGTTTATTTTAATTTTATTGCATGAGTTTCAGTACTGCCATTACACACGACACAATAATTAGCGCTGCTCTGGAGAATATAAGTCACAATAAACAAATAGATGATGAATGCCTCCTTCACATATCCATCTCTCCACGTAAAGAAAAGTATTTCTAACTCAACCCCATCAGCCGCACGGCCTTCTGGGTTGTGCATTATTCCAGCAGCATTGGTTTCAAGACGCGCAAACTTTGGATTGGTTTCAACATACAGTGTCTCATCAGCAGAGCCAGGCTTGCTTGAATCGATTCTGGTGAACTATAGCTGTTTTTATTTTACCAGGTAAGGCCCACTGGGCTATGTTGCTCTCTTTCAAAAGCGACCCAGCCACAAATGATAGCTCAACAAAGTGGCTTATCACATTGAAATTTATAGCAGCCCATTACTCTGAACGCGTGTTTCTAAATGTGGAGAAAAATCCACGCGAGCACGAGGAGAACAGGCAAACTCCAAATATACAGGCGTCAGGGTCAGGATCAAACCCACGACCTCCTCTATACCAAGCGGGGTAGTTAACATCTCACCACCGTGACGCCGCCCACTGCCGATCTTACAGTCAAGATCCCCTCTGCTATCTCATGTAGGGTCCATAAAAAAGACTTTGGCGCGTGAAGTAAAACAAGGTGTCGCTCGGGTCTCCCTCTCCGAATGTGCTCGCAGATGTGTTGCCGGAGTTTGACGGCCTGGACGTGAGCGACCCCAACTGTGTGGTGCTGGGCGATGCGGCCGAGTTCTTCACGTACGACAGCCTCAACGAGGCGTTCCGCGTCCTCTTAGGCCTCGAAACGCCCGTGCTCCTCTCCCTGGGCAGGGGGTCAGTGTTGTGCACGATAGCCTCTCCAGGCAATGCTCTCCTCAAACTGTCTGTGAGGCTTTCCCTAACGTTTGTTTACTCGATGAAGGTAGAATTTTCAAAAGGATGGAATTTGTATTTGGACGTATTGGCAGTATACCCGGCGCAGCAAGACACACCACCGCCGGTCCTCATAAAGCAGTCGAAAATCTAAATTTGAATAAGCACATTTGTTTGATCAATCTTGAATTGATCCTCTCACCAAGTTTGACGCGATTCAGACGTTTATTCAGCCTCCTGAGATTTGATTAAAAAAAGGTGAACATTGACCGTTGATTTGGTTCTGTTGAATCCAGGAACCGTCCGACCAAGTCTAGGGCAACGAGGAGTCAAATCTGCCTTTGGAACACGGAGCAGCCAGGCTGGGTGCTGCTATACGGCAACGGACTGTGAAGCTTCTCTGTGTTCAGCCGCTCATGATGTTTGTCTTCCGACTGCATCGACGTCACGAGAACTGGTTTTGACGGAACCTGCAAGATTTTCTGACCGGGGTTGCGGAAAAATAAATTATTATTGGGATTTTTTTTTTATATATATATACTGCGCGCCACCGGTGTACCGCCAATACGTTAATTTTCAAGGACGCTTAAATACCGCAGCATGTCAAAGTGTGCCCTGTATGTGTGTATGTGGGTTGGATTTATTTCGCACCGTATGTAGCCAACCGTACTAATCTGATCTCAATCACTCCAATGTCCAGCTGCAGTTATTTTTATGTTTTAGCCTAGGGGACCTCCAACGATGACAGCTGTGTAACTGTGTGCGGCGCACAGTAGGTGCAGCCGGCCAGCCTGCAAGTGGCATTGGGCTCTCAAGAGGGGGGGTGATGTTGACCTCGATACATTTTTTCAAATTTGTCCAAAATTGGCACCATGACTCCGGCACGCATGGCCTGCTCGATTTGACGACGTCACAGGATCTTGAATGTCCACTCTGATGCGGGTGGCATGTTCATTTTTGTGTGGCTAATACACCTGCAGTATCACTCAGGGCATTTGGGGGGCATAAACCGCAAATCTCTAGCTACAAGATGTGGCAAGCGCACTCCCGCTCGGCCGTGTCTTCAACGTAATTTGACAGAGCTCACTTATGATACTCGACAGTTGATTTGATTTAGTATTGATGTGCATTTGTTGCATTCTTTTTAATTTATTTTTATCCCCTTAAACGCAGTTGCTGTTCTGCTCCGATTTAGTTTTATTTTCCTCGAGGTATTATTATGTTTGATTGATTTGTCATTCGGGTAATTTCAGGTCACTTTTGCAAACGCTACTATTGCCTGGTCTCTTTGAGTTTGCAGCCAGTTAAAGAAAACAAAAACTAATTAAGCTAAACTAAGGCCATGGGGGCATCTGCAGCAAATGAGGTTTCTATGTCTTGAGCTGATGTGAGATGTGGAGCTACGTTCACCTGCCATTTTTACTGTGCTCCCGATCACAAACGTACATGCACCAGTGGCCATGCAAGTACGTTTTTTTTTAATCAATCCTTATCCGCTTCACATTCTCGTGCGTTTGTCAATTAATGCATTGATAAAATGCCTCTGGTCTTTTTGAATCGGTTAAGTGAGGGGTACTTTTATCAGGGAAAGAGCCTATTTTACACATTTTGTTTTAAGCAGTTGGCGATTTTCAAATTCAGAATTTTGGATGATGACTGGCACGCAGCAGTAAACTCTTGAAAATCGCATCAAATAGTTATCCTTTATGCTTTTTTCTCATCCCTGGGTGCCACGCTTCGTAAAAAAAACAAATTGTGAATAATATTGTCGGTTCGCAACGCAGTGACCTCATCTACATCGACGATTGAAGCCAGTTGGCACACTGCTTGTTGACATTCGTTTGAGTTAAAAACAACAAAAATGGGAATTCTGGTCTTGGTGCGCCACTTAGTCAGGGAAAAGAATATACGAGGTACATCTGCTGCTTGCCTGTGACACGGAACGTTTTCCCGCTGCTGTGCTGCACCCTAAGTTACACACGAGGGAGTGCAAGGGAATAGTTTCATGTCATCAACACACACCGGCTTGCCATTATGATTTGCGACGCAGAGACCCTGTCTTGCTCGCGTCAATGCCAATGTTTTGTTAGTGCAGCGTTTCACCAGTTTATCATAGTTTGCGATTCCTTTGGCAGTTCAGGAATCGGGAGTCTGTCAGTACTTTTAAATCCAGCTTGAAAATTGATTTCTATTCATTGACTTTTCCTGTAGCTTGATTGGATCTCCCGATACTGTGAGTCTAATTTTTGTTGTTATATTATTGGCTTTCATTGTATTTCTTCATGCTATATATGCAGTGCGCAACATTGTGCGTCCACAACCGACGTTAATGCCTCGTTTGTAGTGTAATACTGCTTAAGGACCCTGTATTTGCTCGTCGTATTATTGATGTATTTGTCTTGTTACTGTACTCGTGCACCACGGATATCCATTGTTAAGTAGCCAGGAAACTGGCTGAACGGGATTATCCGTGTAACATGAACTCAAGTTGTGATTCATATTTAAACGTAATAGCGGCGACAACAATCCCAACTGATATTGCAGTCATAAACCAGGGGAAATGCTGTTATGTAATATTAAATTTAGATATTGTGTGCCTTGTAATTAAACCACAGGAGATACTACAAGGAGACCGATGGGCTCAAGTTGGATGTTGGGGCTTACATGAAAGCATTAGAGGTGAGTTTTTTTTGCTTATTGTAAATATAAATACGTTGTAGGCTGCGACGAAATGACATCTTTGTAAAAGCCATAACTCTAAATTTTTACTTAAAACTTTCGTGACTGCAGGAATTAATATTCTTGGTTCTTTCGGTAAAGTCACTTAGATAGAAAATAAAAATTAAATTACATTCAAAGTAAATAAAAAAAATAAAAGCAAAAAAACGCTAATTTGAATTTCTCTTTAATTTTATTTTCTATCTACGTGACTTCACCAAAAGAACCAAGAATATCCAAAACTCTATTTTTGCGGTGAAAGTAGAATTGGATTTCGATTGGTTTGCGCTGGGTTGGATCACATCACGGCAAAACAGAGGATTTCAGTCAATCGTAGACTTGCTGCGTGACGGATGAAGGTTGTCGTCAGAAAATGGGAATTATTATAGAAGAGGATGACAAAATCAAGCTCTGTACCTTCGTTAGGGGTGGAGCGGTGGCGCTTGGGGTTAGTGGACCGCGGCGCGAACCCAGTAACAACATGAGTTCGGTCTCCAACTACGACTAACATCCAATGCGAGTGAAATCTGAACCTGTCCTGAATTCTGTCCTTCACCGACCCGCGCTGACTAGCATGGTGAAGTGTGGTCAAACAACCTCCGTGGCCGACATGCAGGAGTGGACGGACAACAAGGCGGCAATTGATTTCATCGGCAAAGTTTATATCACTAATTCTAGATTTAAAGCTTTCGTGACTGCAAGGATCCATACTCTTTGGTTCTATTCGGTAAAGTCACGTAGGTAAAAAATAAAACAACAAAAATCACGACTAATACAGCGTCAAAATGTGAGAGCACCTCACATTTGCGGTGAACGTGTGCACTGGGCTATTGTGAAGAACAAGATGTATTTATTTTGACTTGCTTTTGCACAGGGGAGGTATTGAGGGTCGACTGCGATAAGGGCAGAAAGGGAAGCGAGAAAGAGCATGGGGAAGGTAGAGTGAGGACACTTGATGGAGGGGAAGGTCGCGTGCACAGGAGTAGGGGGGTGGGGAGTTGGGTATGAAATGGTTATGCAATGAATCGCGAACTGGCTTGGGGTTACCATTTGTACTATAAACTTCTTCAGCACAAACTTCTTCAGTCGCTCAATCGAAGACTGTGGTGTGCGGCCTTGCCTCCGAGATCCAAGCCGTATAACCCTTCGCTGCCCCCAAATACAAACACAAAGGCGTGATGAAGTCACCCACATCCAACAGTGGTGGGGCCGGTTCCTGCTGATCTCAGGCACCCCCCTGCCGATCCCATCCGTGCATCCCACGCAAATGCGTGGGTAGTGCTGGTTTATATTAAAATAAACAAATGTATGATTCTCAAAAGGCTAATCAACTCATGACATACTATATACATTCGATGAGCGTTAAGAAATTAAAGTTGGTGTTTTGAATGTCCTCCGTTTAATTCTTAGACATTGCATGCCTGTACAGGTCACCACACATCGATAGTGATTAACTGTGAGAGGCTCAATTTTGAAACGATTTCTTAGGGCCAAAAACGGCAGAGGCCCACCTTTGAGACAATTTTTGGGCCCAAGGGTCAGTAATGTACATACACAATGTACATTGTGTTCAATGGCAGAGCCAGGATTTTCAGGTAGGGGGGGCAACCCATCCAGAAATGAAAAATGATAGAGGAGTTGTTAGTAAGTGAGGACTTGTCCCTTGCTTTTTATTCGACGCGTGTGCGGCGATGACGCAGCCATCGACCGAGGGTCGAATTGCGAACCGCGTTGTGTGATCGGCATCGCGCTCGCTGAATGTGTTGATGTCTTCAGGGAAGTCGTGGACTCTGTATACGCAACTGCGCACAATTCTGTGAGTCACTGATAACTGCTTTGCCGTTACTTATTGCCAATTGTGGACTCGGACTATTGTCCTATCATCTCATAGAGTCCCTGGCACGTAATAATATGCTACACAGTGGCAGTGGGGGTCGCAAAATGCCGATTTATTACTAATAAACCCCAATGATCCGATCGAAATTATTGGAGTTTATTGGGGGAAACGTGCCACCCCCCCCCCCCCACTGGCTCTGCCAGTGTGTGTTGATTAACTGTGAATAATCCAACTCATAATAGAGATGCATTGTAATTTATATGACTACATTGACTCCCCGCCTCCTCTGGGCTTCACATCTGATTGGCTCAGAGTGATGACATTACATTTATCCCTCTATTTAAGACCGAAACAGGAGGATTTCTTCACAACTCTGACTGTGCGCCTGATGATGCTGGTTGTAATTACTGGCGAAACGTCGTAGTCAAATTGTGAATGTTGTGGGTTTACTCTCCAACACACCGGTGTGCTGGAAAAGTAACTAATTGGCACGTTCTGTTTATGTGACAAACCTTACTAATTGGCTGTGTCGGGTGCTGGTTGGCTTAACGACACATTTATATTTATGGGATCTGAATGTGGAGACGTGCGTGCTGTGTGTGTGTGTGGTGTGCATCCTGTCTTCAAGTACGCGTGTGATGTAGAGGCGGAGGTGGTTGGAAAGCCCTCAAAATCCTTCTTCATGGCAGCTGTGAATGACATGGGACTCACTCCCAGCCAGGTAAGGAAATCGGTGCCTTAGCACGTGGGCTTTCGCGACCAATATTACGATTCACAATTGATTTTCGGGTCAGATCGTGGAGGTAAAATGCCTGTCGTACACCCTCCAGCTGCCTGATGATGCTGGTTGTGACTACCGGCGAAACGTTCGTGCCCAGTTTTTTTTTTGTTAACGTATGCGGATCTCTGTGGTGCTGAAGCGGTAATAAATGTACACGTTTGTTCACGCGACGGCTTTACTAATTGGCTTTGTCGAGTGGAGGAGGGTGTACGAAACAGACATCTTTCTTACGCGACCGGACCATTTATCAGTCACAAAACCGAAAGGCTACGATGGCACTGGCGCCCGGTTGTTCGGATGCTGTGCGCGCCTTAGCGGGCTTTGAGTATTGCATTCCTGCGTGCGCCGGTGCAGGTGCTGATGATTGGCGATGACATTGTGAATGATGTCGGAGGCGCTCAGCTGTGTGGCATCTCCGCACTGCAGGTCCGCACGGGAAAGTTCATGTAAGTAAATGTTGGTAACTGAAGGATGTGAGAGATTGAAAAAAAAAAAGCTTGCTACTTTGGGTAGTTCCAGCAGTCTTGATTGAGTAATACCCTAAAGGTCGTGACTGACTGATGTGTATTTTTCCTTGGATTTAATGGATGGTAATGCTTAGGTGACCAATGGCCCTCTGGGCCCAGGATTTTCTAGCTTCGCTGCAATGGATGTTATAAAACTAAATTTGCTTCTCTGCTAATGTGTGCATGACTCATTTGAATAGATATTTCTTTCAGTTGCATGCCAGTGGTAGAACACAATGTTACCTGATTTAAAATGTGATTATAATGGCTCATTTGTATTTAATTAAGCCCTTTTGGGCACTGTCCAATTTGATGGATGAATCTGCGGCAGAACTCTCGAGCACAATTTTATTTGCGGATGAAATACTTTGCAGCTGTGGCAGCTAACGTGTTCCGTAGCTGTGCCATACTTGGCAGTACTCTTGTGCAATACTGAGTGTCACCTGAGAGTCCTGCTAATGGGGGGCACCCGTACATATTTTCCCAAAAGGTACAAACTTAAAAAAAATGTCTTACATATCAAGTCCGAGGCAGCTGAAGTTATTACTGCTAGAATGAGTCTTCAGGGTAAGTAAGACGAGCTCCCCCCCCCCCCCCCCCCCTGGTGAATTTGTATCCGTGGAGTGAAATTCACCATTGGTTGGCCTGTGAAGGTGATGTAACTGTATATCGTGGCCGTGAGTTACATTTGTTTTTCACGCGTGTCCGTGCAGGCCTTCGGATGAGCATCATCCCAGCGTGAAGGCCGATGGCGTGGTGGATAACCTGGCGAACGCTGTGGACCTACTGCTGAGCGAATGGAAGAAGCTATGAAGCTGACATGAGGATAATAAATATGAGGACATAGAGAGAACATGCACAGTAGAAAATAAAATAATAGGAGTGCGGCAAGCTACGATTAAGCGGGTGTACTGGGTTCACACGAAATTATTCACGAGCCGTGTTTGTGTCGCCGTGCCGCGTCGCTTGCACGCCGTAACGTGGTGCTGCCCAACGAAACGTAGCTTTGAGTATTGGTGAAAATTTTACAATCGCCACGGGCTCACCTCAATCCTCACCATCGGTGGTGATGAGGTGAGCACTGCCACGGCCAGATAGGAAGACAACCACTAGGCCAGGTACCCACGGGGTGAGGGGAGGCAAGAGCGATTGGGTTTACTGCCCCTCTACTCGCGTAGAGGAAGTGATGGGGAACGTGGTATATTTAGGCGTAGTGCGGTATTGCTGTTATTGCGACACCACTCCACGAGCACACCTTCCCTACTCGGCCCATGAGAAGCCACGGTCAGTCAGGCGGGATGTCCGTGGATCAAGGGAAAAGTGGTCTGTGTTGGGTCGTGCTCGTCGTTGTGGTTTGGGAACTGGCTGAGCGTTACCAGCACGACACTTGGCCATGTGGCCAGAGTTTAGTATGACAAGGACGACTGTTTTGTGTTGGTCTGCCTCCGCACCTCCGATTAGCATGGCTGGCTGTTTGATGCGAAAGAAGTTCAGCATACAGGGACTCCTCCATTTACCAAGGAGTTAGGTTCCAGAGATATGTTCGTATGTAAAACCTTACTCTTGTCGATTCCAAACATGTTGTATGGCATGTACACTAAACTCTGAGGAATGGCTTTAAAAGTTGTATAATCTTCTGTAGATGTAGATGCCACTGGTTCTTCACGTTCTGCAGATGTAGATGCCACCACCACCATCTATTGCGCGGTGGTTGAACTTACATCTCTCGGCCCTAACAGCCAATTGGACATACGGACAGGTTTGTTCATATCTCTGAAAGTTCGTAAGTCGATTGTTTGTAAGTAGAGGAGTCCCTGTATGCACAAATCTACGTGAAGTGTTCTCTCATTTGTCTGGAACTTAATTTTATTCTCATATAAGGAATTATCCTATAGTTCGGACTTTCCTGTAAAAAATGTGGTCTTGATAGCTACATTAGGTTTTTCCGGGGTTAATTTAAATGGGTAAGAATTACATTAATTCTGGCTGTGTCGTGTGGGGAGGTGTTCATTCAGCTGTGGATTGAAAACGGTGAATTATAGTAATTACCGGATGTAGGATGCCTAAAAGTGAATATTGAATCTCACATCTTGCCTTTTTTTCCTTTTAAATCAACGCACGTGTCGAATACATCTGATGAAGAAGGAATGTGTATCATACTTGAGTTCATATGTAGAATTAACATTGAAAAGTGCACGGTTATAAATACTATATGTAACTATTTCGATGTAAAGCTTTCGTGACTGCAGGGATTCATCATCTTGGTTCTTTCGGTAAAGTCACCACGTAGAATGGAAATAAAATAATACAAATAAAACATAAAATAAAAATAAAATACAAATATTTCCATTCTACGTGACGTTACCGAAAGAACCAATAAGATATATGTAACCAATGTAAGCATTTTTGACGCTTGCACTGAATGCTTGGTTTGGATAACATTACGTGAAAGATGTTTTAACCTAAATGAATTGTGCGAATGCCATTGGCAGGGACATTGATTTAATTGCTCGCTCTTAAGTGCAGTTCTATTTACTGTGATGAATTACATGCACTAACTTGGTTAAATAAAAATGCCGGTATCTCCGGTATCCAAGATGCTCAGTGGGGTTTGAGTTTATTTCTCAGTGCTCCGACTGCATACGATTCACGCGCGATCGGGCAAATTATTCCAACCCAAACAAAACTAGTCTTTGACTTTTCCCCATTAAGATCATGCGTGTGGTTAACATGTATTGGCTACCATGGTACTTCAGTCTCAGGGCTCTGGCAGCCAGATCGCTGATTACTGTTGAAACCGTGCATGCTTTCCACAGGAGCATGTCTTTGAACTAGTTTCCCTGTGATGTTTGAGTTATTTCCTGAAAAAACAAACCAGTGCCATGTTTACGTTTCAGACTTCATCAGAGCCTCTGCACTTTGTTAACTATCCAACTTTAAAAGAACCTACGTTCGACAATTGGTAATCACAACTTGATGAGCACTAATATTGTCACAAGTAGGCCCAGTCCGAACAGATGTAATGCGCTCTGGTCGCATATATCTGCGTGATCAAAGATGTCGCGCTGCTCAAATAAGCATGGAGTCGAGCTCTTGACTTGGCAACCCTGAGCCGGCAATTGGACATTCACAATTTCAAAATCTACTCGCATCCACGCACCCTATGCTGCAGGCACACAGAGAGAGAGAGAGATACACAGGGAGATAGGGAGTCAGAGACAGGGAGACAAACAGAGACACGGGGAGACAGGGAGTCAGATACAGGGGAACACACAAACACAGGGAACACACACACAGATCTCCTGGGCCAAAACGTTTCTCAAGTTGGTGAACCAACTCCGCCCAATTTCCCTGCATGAGTGCAGATAAAAAAATTGATTAATTTGGCCGCTCTCCCATGCATGCGCATGGGAGTCCGGCCAATAGGTAGGCCAGGGTGACATTCCTATAGAAGGGCTGACAGGGTTGGGATCCCTTGTCCCGTAAAACAAAAAACTGCCCCTAATTTTGGCACGGCTCATTGCTCCCCCACCCCCCCTAGTTGCGTTGGGATCAATCCGACTTCTGACACCCAATTGTCAGGGCTCACACTTGCAGACCCCGTTGGGGCCTTCGCCAAATGGTATGGTCCAGGAGCAGTGGTTCTCACCCGGGGGTTCCGTCGTGGCAATGTCCCAGGGGGGTCCATGAGGTCATTTTATGTCATACGTGAAAATAATGATTTTCGGTGAATAGTCTTGTTTGAATTTGCCAATATAAAATAACTACGATAACATTTAATATCTCGGAACGATATAAAAGGCATTTCTAAACTCACTGATCGTAAACTGCGTGGCTTCCCAAGGGGCCGTCCATAAATGACGTCACGCACCTGGGGGGGGGGGGGGGTCAAACATTTGTGACGATGTGTGACGAGGGTGGGGGGGGGGGTTGAGAAATGTGACGTCACATCAAAATGCGCAACTTTAAATAATCAATAAAACTCCGCCCAATCTGTGTAAAGATATTACAGCTACTCTACTGTAAAGGCGATCACGTGGATTTTTGATTAACCGGAGCACATGTTTGTTCGGTTCAAGCATGTGACTTGTAATAAACACTTCCAAGGATAACAATGCAGAACTGTTTTTAGATTATTAATTTGGGCTTAAGGGAAACCGTGAGTTAGTAATTTACGTCAAGATTTTGGGTGCACGGTTAATCCGCAAATTGGATAAACTACACCGCGGATAATCGAGAGTCTGTTGTATAACTTGCTCAACTTGCGCACGTAAGGTTTGCAACTGATATGGCAATTAAAGATTTGTACTTTTATTTTGTTAAGCTCCTGTCAAGTCATCACAAATAAGGGACTACAGTTGCAAAAAATGTTTTATTGGGTGTGTGTGCACCGATGGGGCTCTAGCCATGACCAGCAAATCAGGAGGGCTTCTGGCAAAAGTAAGAGCAGTTTCACCCACTGGCAAATTCACGCACTGCAGTATACAATATACATCGTGAGGCATTCGCACCCAGGACAATGATGGCCTGCCAACCTTAAGGTCGTTTTAGATCGGGGAGTCAAAGGGTGGCCGATTTTGTAGAAAAAAAAAGCACGGCCGCTCGATTCACGATCGTTTTCTTCTTCTGTGCAACGAATTGCGAAGCAGCGATGAAAAGCTTCTGCGTACGGCGGTGAGATGGAAAAATGTTGACCCCCCATTTCATTCAGATTGTTTTGGTTTCTTGGTGACTCTGAGTTTTAGTATATCTGACTGTTTTCAAAGGCTGCAGCTGCGGGTCGGCAAGGCCTGCCTCTTTGGCAGATGTATTTACAAGTATTAATGAACTGAATGAGAGTCTGCAAGTCCTGAAAAAACAATCCCTTTTTTGCGTTTATAACAAAACAAGACCATTTGTTTAACAACAACAATAACAACAACAAATAGCTGCAGTTTCTGGTCTGCTCTGAAATTCCAGTAATTATTAGAGACCCATTTTTACTGGGAAAAAGAACGTTTGCCTAACGACCTCTCCACAGAGGAAAGGAAGCAGGGTTGTGTGATGTGACGGAGAGATCAGCTGGCGTTCAGGAGAATACATCTCGGTGATTTTCGGCTCAGAAGAGAGGACTGTCCCCAGATTTTGGAGAGGGCATTGACACTTTTGATTCAATTCTGCACAATTTATTTGTGCGAAACTCGAAATTCATTCGTGATTGTCGTAACAAACAAAAAACAAATACAGGACAAAGCGAAACGTCGAACCAGGCCTCTGGCTGAAATTAACCAAAATGTCAGCAGATATCCGACGTCTGTCAAGCCAGCTCACGCCCCCCATTAAAACACCCCCAAAATACTAAAAGGTTCTCTGGAGGAGGTAAATATGTAACGTCTTTTTCCAGTTTACAGCAGTTGATTTTTCTTTTTTCTACCACACCTGATACAACAACGTTTTATACATGCTTCAGGTTTTGATGTTGTTTTAATACACAGTCTGTTAGCTATGTGGATTCACACGTGCTGGTAAGGATGTATCGTTTTCGATTGCTGGTACGCTATCTATCAAAGTTTGGCGGCCGCTACTTCCAGGTGTCCTCACTTGATCCTTCCACGAGTGAAAAAAGACTCTGCTGGGCCTCCCTTTGTCCACGAGGTCTTTTTTTTCCACGTTGCTCGCTTTCTCCCGCAATTCCCCGAGCTCCGCCTTCAGCTCTCTTTCTCTCCGTCTCCGCCAATCCTCACCTCTTTCTCCTCTCCTGATCTAAACCCTCCCCCGTCACTCACTCGACTTTCCCCTTCGAACGTCCCAGCCAATTCCTCTTGCTCCCCGTGCCCTAACCCATTAGCGCGTGCAGTGTTGGCTCCAGCCTTCTTGATTAAAAGGCGCTTCTCGGTCTTTGGCTAGGAAGCGTCCCAGGGACCGTATGGGACGATCACCTCACAAGAACTGTATAGATCGTCCTGGATATAACGATCACCATCAGTTCTCAGCAGGGCTTTCCAGGCTAAATACACGCATTGAGATTATTTAGCTTATAATTGGTGCGATAAATGTCCAAATGATGAGCCACTTTGTTGTTGAGCCATCATTTGTGGCCAGGTCGCTTCTGAAAAATAAGTTCATACCTCGGTGGGCTTTGCCTGGTAGGATGGGGATGGTTTAGTGGTTGTATTTGTTTGTGTGCGAGTCATTTGTTTAACTTTCTTGTACTTTGCACTCCGATCGTGTTTTTGTACTGTTTGTTGGTGAAACGTTCTTACGCGCCTGACTGGACATCTGTGAAAAAGAGCTTTATAGCTCATCGGATTCCTCCAGTAGAAATACATATTCTGATTCCAAAGTTTACACTCATTTGTGAACGTAAATGTATACACACTGCTTGAGCAATGCGGTTTGACTAATTTCTTCAGGCTAGTTCGAGAAATAAGGAACTTCTGCACGCAAAAACCTTGCTACACTGCATACGTAAAATTGTTCATTATTAATTTTCAAACGCACTGCACATATTCCTGTTATAAAAAAAAAGACAGAATACAGAGAAATCTGGAAAAGGAGGGCAATTACGTGAAGAGAAACATCAGAGGGCACCACAGAAGTTACAGAAGATACATACAACATGGGAACATACAAGCATAACAAAATAATATCGATTAATGGCTTTTAAGTTTATTGTGATCTGAATTCGAGCCGATATTTGGTGCATCATTAGATTCTTTGATAAATCTTTAGAGATCCACTGAACTGCTCTGTCTCCCGAAGCGTTTTGCTTAGTTTGCTCACGCCTTTAGCACCAGAACTGGGCAAAAGTATTGCATTAGGTTGTTACTTTTAAGAATACTAACATAAATCAGGATTGTCTTATGTTTCTTTCGGAACCCCACTCGCAATTAATATACCAAAAAGTGCCCCAACACCCCCCCCCCCCCAACGCTGCCAAAATTCATTTTAAATTCAAGATCAGAGATATGTTTTTGTAGCAGAACGAAAAGCAATGGAAAGCATTCGAGTTTGTTAATCAGTTTAACGCATCGTAGTAGTAGGAGGCGACTTTCGCGACCAACATCATCCATAATAGAGGTTTTTTTATGTGGGTGAGATCGCGTAAATGTGTCGTTTAACCCGCCACCACCACCGACACAGCCAATTAGTACAGATTGTCACGTAAAGAAAACGTGCCAATTAGTTACTAGTTCAGCACGCCTGTTGTGTGTTGGATACTGAACCCACGACAACATTTACAATTCGTGTACGACGTTTCGCCGGTAAGTGCAACAACCAGCCTCCTCAGGAGACAGTCAGATTTTGGCTGTCACTCTCCAACACACAACCGGTGTGCTGTGCTAGCAACGAATTGATAACGTGACAAACCTTACTAATTGGCTGTGTCGGGCGGACGCGGGTTTCACGACACATTTGTATGTACGCGATCTAACCCCAGAAAAAAACCCCCTCTTTAATGGACACGTGGTTATTGTTCACAAAATGTGACAGCCTCTTGGCTGCTTTCGGAAAAGAGACTGCCAGCCCCAATTTTTTTTTTTAACCAAAACCCACTTCCTCAAATCGGAGGGATTTTACTTTTTGCATAATCTGACGGTGCCCATGTGTTTCCTCGCGTGATGAATTCAGAGAGAGGGGGATTGAGTCAGCTTTGGTAAACGCAGTCCCACCAGCGCTTATGGCAAGGTAGGTTCGTTATTTTTCATTGGGTTTGATATAAACTACAGCAGCAATGTGCACAAACCTCTTGCTCGCTTTCCAAGCTTAGTGTTCGCATTTTGGCGTCCTCTGGTCTGACACTGGTGGTGAGGCAAGGCCATCAATAAAAATGTCTCTGGTGTAGGCAAATCAGTTTCAAAGGCAATGGGTATATTATCAGGTTTGAAGCTTTCGTGACTGCAGTAATCCATACTCTTTGGTTCTTTCTGCTGCTGCAGACCATGCTTTGCCACCTGATGACGGAAACTTGTGTTGCGCCCGAAACGTCGTGTTTTATTTTATTTTATACCTACGTGACTTTACCGAAAGAAGCAAAGTATGATCAGAGTATGTTTGTTTGCATGTTCAGCGCAAGTATAGTGTGGTGAACGCACGCTTGATCCCTTGCAAAAGGTTTTATTTGGTGTTTCTTAACATCTTAACACAACTGTTGTATCTGTTGTATTGCCACGAAGGGTAAAACCTATTCTTATATTACATCTTATATGGCAAAAAGTTTCCATGATAGATTTTTACATGTAGTTAGTCGGGAGAAAGCACGGTTTGTATGCGCCTATGCTATAAACTATTTATGACCATTGTTGAACTAAATTGATGTGAAATGTGTTTCTCACCTCCAATTAGCACGGTTGGCTACGTAACGGTGTGAAAGAAGTTCAAAGTGCATACTCAATGCGCGGTGTATAAGATGTTCTCCAAGCATTTGCCTTACGTTGCTCATAAAACGCTGTCCACTGCAGTGCTGTAAACCGTCTGTTAATATTGTGACTTGAAGCAAATACCTTCTGCTGGGGAAAAAATAAAATCTTCAAAATTGTTGTTATAAGTCCAGAGGTCGCCGGTTCGTTCTCCCGGCGCGGCAGTTAAAACAATCGGTAGCAAGTCTCTTAAATCTCATCTGCCTCCCAGCCACACTGGTGTGGCTACTCACCTTAGACCAAGGCGTCTGGCCCAGTGGCGGATTCAGCTAGTGCGGAGCCTGTAGCATATGTTATAAAGGGGCCCTAAATAAAAAAAACATGTAAATTCTAAAACACGTACATTTTTTACTTGCATAGTAAAGTAATTGTATTTTGTCATTTGCTATACAGCCAGATAATACGACAAATCGCTAACCTTAAACGCCCAGCCGTTCATAAAAGTGTGTACTATAGTAATAGAACAAGTGCAGAATCACTGAGCCGGAATTGATAGCTTGAAGACGTGTAGCAACTTTTGCTACTTGGATAATCCGGCACTGGCCTGGCCGGCGTGGAAGAGTAGGCCAAAAACTCGAGAGCAGGGGTTGACAACCTGCGACTCTGGAGCAAGCACGTGGTCGCTCTTTGGCTGCCCCCTTGCGGGCAGCCATTTTAAACAAACAAACATCTTCGACACAATTAACCGTAAAGACAGTTGATTAAATAATAGCAGGGAATGGAGGTCACTATGGGGCCGTCCATAAATGACGTCACGCACCTGGGGGGGGGTCAGACATTTGTGACGATGTGTGACGAGGGGCGGGGGGGGGGGTTTGAGAAATGTGACGTCACGTCAAAATGCGCAACTTTAAATATAGACAACACGTTCTACTTAATTAAATAGACTTTTTTTTATAAATGTTTTCTCCTACAACATCAGAGTGCAACGCCACATTAAATACGCACTACAATGACAATAGTTTAAAGCGATTTGAAGCATGTTTTTTTTTGGGGGGGGGGGCAGAGCTTTGTGACGTCATATTTGAAGGGGGGGGTCTGACTTTTTGTGACGCCGTGTGACGAGGGGGGGGGGTCAAAAATCGTCAAAAATCGCGTGACGTCATTTATGGACGGCCCCTATGGAATGTCCTTGGTGGTGACGACAAAATGTACAACAGTCAAACTGTACTGTAAACAAAATAACTTAGGGTGCGGGAAAAACAAATCTCTACTGGCGCAGTTGATTCAATCAGCTATTCTGTTCATTTCAGTCAGAATTAATTCTTCATCTGCCGTATACCTGCTGCTGTGTTTGTGTGCAAGTGGCTCTGCGTGTGATGCGGCTCTCGAACTATTTTTGGTGAAAGACAAAAACGGCTCTTTACCTCCTCCTTCTTTCAAAGGCTGCCAACCCCCCAGCTCTAAGAGAGGGCCTCTTTGGGGGTCTCCCTCTAGTGGAGGAATCTAGCAGCAGAGGCGTGAGCAAGCGATTGCAGGTGCTGAACTCTGACCTTTTTATACTGTTATAATAGTAGGTGGCGAGATGTTAACTACCTCGCCTGGTATGAAGGAGGTCGTGGGCTCGATCCCGACCCTGACGCCTGCTGTTTATTTTGTTACAGCAGGCGTCAGGGTCGGGATCTCTCCACGTGGTCGCGTGGATTTTTCTCCAGGTCCTCCGGTTTTGTTCTCGACATATACAATCAACACGCGTTTAGAGTATTTGGCTGCTATTTCCACGACAAGTTTGTGCTGAAAACCGCATCGTCTCTAAAACATCTGACTTCATTACCAATGGTGGTCGAATATGCTTGCAGGAACGACGATGCGAAGACTGATGGATTAACAATTATAATCCTACGCTACTCAACCTCTGGAAAGGAAATATGGACATCCAGCCATTTGGATCAAACGAGTCAATCGCGGACTACATTGCAAAGTACAATGATGAATACTGGCGACGGAATTCGCGCGCAAACTCGGCACAACGACGGAGAAACGTTGGTCGGATTCGCACACGATGGTCGCCTCGATAGAGTTATTGCATGCAAATTTCCGTGTTATGACGAGCGGACTCACGCCACCATGCACTCTTCCCACACTCGCAGAAAGCACACGAAAAGGTTATTATGATGAATACTGGCGACCGGATTCACGCGCAAACTTGGCACAGCGACAAAGGGACGTCGGTCGGATTCGCACACGATGGTCGCCCCGATAGAGTTATTCGCGCGCAAATCTCCGTGCTACGACGAGCGTACTCACGCCACCATGCGCTCTCTCCACACTCGCAGAAACCACACGACAAGGTTATTGCTCACTAACGATGTATTCCCGGTATGACTTGGATTAACCACTATGTGACTCAGAGCTGAAATCGGTGAGGAAACCGCTCTATCTTTCGACAGTCTAAACCCACTCCGCCCTGCTTATTTCCATTTACCCTCTCGAGGAATTCTCACACTGGTCTCAATATCTCACCCTCTGGCACTCACGGTTCGACTCGTCACACGGACTTGCAAGTGGCTGGGAAGTCGACGGACCCGATCGCTGGCTTTAGGAGAACACGAACTGAACATCGCGCTTTCCTCTCCCATTATATCCTCCTCTACATCAAAGGGGCCCCTCGGCTGACCCGGCGGCCTTCACGGCCAATCGGATCGATGCCCTGCACTGGTGCTCTCAGCGCCGTCCGCATCCCTCTTTACACATCAAAGGGGCCGCCGCTGGGCTGTTGCATTGGCCGGGGGGCGTACGAGCACACTTGCCCAGCCAATCAGACGCTTACCCGGCTGATGCTGCCTCCAGGGTGCCCGCGCCCATCGTGCCTGGCCCCGTCCCCCCTTTACCTGCCGCGCTGTGTGTGTCCTAACCGCGGTGGCTGAGTAGCCTCGTCGTGACCATGCAATTGCACGTCAATTCACGGCGCCGCAGTGCCATTTCACCTGGGGGAAGCCTCGGCCAATTCCCTGGCCCCAGGAAACCGTGGGGGATGTTCCCACGAGGAGGGCTCCTGGGTGAAAACCTGGAGGCCACGTGACTTCGCCACGAGGTCCGAGGTGTGTGTGTGTGTTCGTGTGGGGGGTGGTGAGGGGGAAACAGCATCGGCCAGGCTGCTTTGTTGTGGGGGCATCGCAGGCACGGCGCCGACAGAGCGGCTTCGCTGCTGTGGCATCACACCCACTTTGTGGATGTTTGGAAGGCCATAAAATCTGGGTGGTCTAGCAGCTGAAGGTTTTAGGGAGCTCTGCTTGGTCTGATCGATTAGAGAAGTCGATGTAGTGATGATATTGTTGGTTTTAGTAGCTAGGCAGTTGGTGGGATCTCTGTTGATTTTGGTATAGGTACCATGATTTAGAAGGTCCTTAATTTTGTTGTTGTAAGTGGTTTTATCCATGATGACAGTGGCATTGCCCTTGTCGGCTGATAGGATGACATTTTTTTATTTAGAGAGTTCAAAACGCTCGTCCTTGCTGATGTTACTAATGGGTTTCTTAGTGTTTTTGAGGATAGCAGCAATTTCAAATCTAGCCACGTCTGCCGGGATGTGTCCCAAGCTTTTGAGGGCTACGTAGACCTGGGCTATTATATCATCCACTGGGATATATTATATCATCCACTGGGATATGTTTAGGGGTGACTACTAGTTTGGGTGCATATTTGTTGGGGATTTTGAATCTTAGAAACAGTGATACAGTAGCTACTCGTAAGCAAGAGCAAGTAACATACTTCTGAATGTGTAAAAAGCTGGTACAACAGTCGAAATGTGTAATGCCTCAAAATCCTACCCACAATGTGAAGACAACGAGCTCTCAGACGTGTTTACCCGCACTCTGGCGGGAGCAATGGAGCACCACATTATCACCAAACCAGTTCCTTATTGCAGATCGTACACAGTGCCAGATTATCCTAGCAGCAAAAGTAGCTACATATGCTACGGGCCCCACACTTTCAAGGGCCCCGCGCTATACGCTTTCAAGCTATCAATTCCGGTTCAGTGATTCTGCACTTGCTCTATTACTATAGGACTATACTGCCTTCACCTTTAATTAACGACCCGGTTGTTTTAGGTTAGCGATTTGTCGTATTATCTGGCTGTATAGCAAATGAAAAAATACAATTACTGTACTATGCATGTGAAAAATGTATGTGTTTTCATATTTACGTGTTTTATTTATTTATGGTCCTACAGGCCCCGCACTACCTTAATCCGGCACTGATCGTACAGTCTGTCCAGTTGGCTTCACCCTGGCACGCCGCCAGAGTGCCCCGCTGGACAGGTTTCTG